AGTCCTTCACTGTCGGTCTACCGGTCTGTCCGTCAGCGTTAACCTCGCAGTGAATGAATTTATTACAGTCTGTTGGGTGAGGGTATAGACAGTCCTTAGGGCCCATGCATTGGGTGTTCGCGATGTCATCGAGAGAGCACACGAAACCGGGTAATGGGGTCGGCCTTTGAGTTGTTGTGGGCTCAGGTGTAGGTTCAGGAGTTGTAGGCTCTGGGGTAGTTGGCTCTGGTGTTGTGGGCTCGGGTGTGGTTGCCTCGGGTGTGGTTGGCTCGGGCTCTACCACACAATTGGCGTTTGCAGGCCAATCGCACTCCTTTATGGCGTTATTCCAGTGCAGATTTCCCGGAGCGCAGGGCATGTCATACGCCAGTCCCGCGTCATTACATTGTATAAAACGACTGCAATCTCTGGGATTGGGATATAAGCAGTCTTTGGGACCCAAACAAAGAGTGTTATCAATATCCTCCTGAGGACAGGGATACCCGGCAATGATTGGGTAGTCGAGCGCTAATTAGAAAAATATTATATTTAATAAAATGTTAACCATTATTGAAATGAATTGACTGACCCTTTCCCAACCCATGTGCGACTAACAGCGCAAACACTACCGTTTTAGTCAAATAACTCATTGTGTGTTTCAATGTATTATCTAACCGTCAGTTTAACTCCGAAATCGGCTGAAACTGACTTTGCATTGAATTCTCCCTCATATTTATATTAAAATATAATCGCATCTCAAGTCAATTGAATTGCATTTCGCACTCAAATTATAAATTTTGAATAAATCCTTAAATCCCTAAATCCTGTTGATGTCAAATTTGTGTGACGATATGGTTTTGTGTGTAACCTATCATTTACCCTTATTATCACCACCGGGACGACCAAGCTTACATTATGCTATCCCCGTATTATTAAAATTGGTGAATTTTACTTTGTAAGAAATTTGTTAAATAATTTGTTAAATAATATTTAAAAGTTATTCTAAAAATTATATAACTTTGTAAAATGAGTACAATATTATGTTGTTAAATTGTATAAAGTTTGAGAATGCTTATTTTATGGACCCCCGAGACCTTATTGTACTAAAAGTCAAAGTTTAATCTAAATAATTAATTTACGGGCCTTTTGAGTTGATAATACATTGGTATTGCATTACAATACTAATAGATTATTGTAGATTGATCGTATAATTGTAATAGTTACCTGTAATTACCATTTTTAACAATTTTTTCAGCAATGTTTGTAATACATACGTTACAAGTGTTACAAGTAGTCCTTGTACTTGATAATATAGTGATTTATAGACCTTATGAATGGAATTCTAATATAATAAATTCATCAAGTTCATTGTCAGTTATATTACTGTATTGGTATTATAATAATGTATTATATAAGTGCATTGAATAACAAATATAAATTAATCTACTATAAAATTTATTTAATTAACGAAATACAGAACTATTTTTAAAATTTAAAACTTGATGAAAATTAAACATGATTAAATTTATGAATATTATGAATTAAAGCAATTTCATTTTAAAATTAATGTAATATATGGAAAAATATGTGCATAAATAACTAGACACCAGGTCATCCTGATCATTGTGGTTACAAGTCTGTCCAATTCTTTGTTCATTAATTTTAATACATTTTAAGAGTTGTAACGCAAGTGTAAGAGATTAGATATTTACAAATTAATTGCCTGGATGATTACGCGGTTAGCTTGAATCAGTAGTGAAATATCTTTTTAAGTGCGTTAAAAATTCCTCGACAATTTTGAATTAAATTTTAAGTTTTAATTTATCATTCATTTTTTTGTAAAACATTTAGAAATGACTCAAATAAAGTTTTAATTATATTTAAATATTGTACCCTACTTACAAGTTAGTATAGTCACTATACTATAGTGCATTTATTGTTTTGATAAAATGAGATGCCCGCACAATTATTGCCGTTATAATTATACTTTTATTTTAAAACTGTTTCATTTATTATAGTAATTTATTTTAAATTATCAAAACTTTTCTTTTATATCATTTATAGTATTAAATCATTTGTATTAGTCATTTGTATTTAAATCATATGCTTGAATAAAATTTTATTAAAACTAAAATAACATGCAAATCATATCAATATACGTAAAACAAAATAAACAAAAAAATTCAATAACTTTTGCATAAAAATTATTTTCATTTCTAATCTACTAACTTTATTTCATAACATGATTATATATTTTTCAATAAACATATTTCATATACAATTTGACTAGAACAATCTTATAAAAGCAAAGTTATTATAAGATCATTTAAATGCATTCAATATTGGGATGGGAGGGACGACATTCAGCGCCTATAGTGACGGCATGTGGCGTTTGCGGGCCAATCACATCGCTTGATGTTGTCGTTCCACTTGAGTCCCGCGGGACAGGGCCTCACGATAGGAGTTCCCGATTGGTTACCGGGATTGACAGTACACTGGATATAAGTATTACAGTCCCCGG